TTTTGTGCACCGGGTCTGTAGTTGCCTATAAATACAGAACCATCATTCAGACTTGAGCCATTGAATTCTTTTCTAATTTAAAAATAGACATATGGTGCTTTCTCAGTTTTAAAGGTTACATTATATTCCATCTTATGGATGTGTCTGTGTTCCCTGAAATAGACAAAGTTACCCCAGAAATTATTTTTTTTTACTTGTTCCCTTGGGAATAGGGAATCAAGGTTTCTGAGTATTACTCTCTTTAAGAGACCAAAACAGACACCCAGAGAAGGTGAACTCTGAAAGCAGTTCTGCAGAAATGAAATCGTAGCAGAAGGAAAAAAATTCCAACAGAAAGGAGCACAGATGGCCCTGAAATGGAAATACATACGTCAAAGGGACAAATGCACCTAACCTGGCCCTTAAATAGGGCTACAGTTCTGTCCCAGAGAAATGCAACAGTGGAATAAACCTTGTTTGGAGACTGTAGCTCAACCTGTGATTCTTTCTTAGGTCATTGAATTCACGTTGACTAGTTTTCTGTTCCTTACTGAATGTTTCTACTATATCACCTTGCAATACTTTCTTTGGAGAATTAGCTCAACCTTCTTTATAATAGACTAGAGGCCCGGTGCACAAAATTGGTGCACGGTAGGGTCCCTAGGCCTGACTGGCAATCAGGGCCAATCTGTGGGGCGACTGGTGGGACGATCGGGGGGCCCCCGCTGGCACGCACCATGGCTGGCCTGGTGCTGCCCACTTGCCGGCCCCACCCCCTGCTGCCGCTATCGTTCACCTCCCTCTGCAAGGTGACTAGTGGGGCAATCAGGTGACCCCACTGGCACCCGCCTTGGAGGCAACCGCAGGGCCATCGGGTGGTGGTGGTGCCAGCCTACTCGCTGGCTGTCCCTGTCCCCTGATTGCCCTGCCACCGCCGCTGCCGGTTGCCTCCCTCTGCGGGGCAACTGGCAGAGTGCCGGGAGCCGGTCCATGCTTGCTGTTTCAAGGGACCTGGCATATATGGCATACTGTTCTTAATATGTTTGCTCACCTTCTTGGCACTATGTGTTTTAACCAAGGTCTCTGAGAAAGGATGTTTCCCCAGGTAGGGATTTTCCCCTGAAGCTAGGGAGGGAATAAAACCTCTTAACTAAGTGCCAGGCGGGTAATTAATCACTTTAACTACGAACAATCGTGCTTAAGCTACATAATCTTTACTCCCTGGAATGAAGATAAGAAACGCCCTAACCTTTGTAATAGAGATTGATAGGATTGAATCAACTGGTATAAATACAGATGCAACAAGACAGCAACACAGAACTTAGAACACAGAACTTAGAATACAGAGCTTAGAACACAGAACTAAGAAGACAGAACCTACACAGAACTAGAGACAGAAGAACTTCGCTGGAGAGAACATGGCAAAAGATCCTGGACTGAACCTGACTACAGAAATGGGCAAGAGAACCTGACTAGAACCTGGTGACTGAACCTGGCTGGAGAACCTGGACAGAACCTGGCTGGAGAGCCTAACAAGAGAACATGGACACAGAACCTGGCTGGTGATCCAAAGCAGAACCTCTCTGGAGATCCAGACCAGAATTTGGCTGGAGATCCTGGCTGGAGATCCTGGCTAGGCTGCTGATCAACTGCACGCTGTCTCCGTGTCCTTCCTTCTTCGCCGACTCCGTCCACACCTTTGGGGACCCCTGGACCCGCTGGGGTTGGACCCCGGCATCTGGCGCCCGAACAGGGACCCCTAGGTAAGCGCCCCACACTCGGGACGGATCGGACTCCACCGTAGGAATAGGGTGGATAGTCTCCGCCGACTCCGTCCACACCTTTGGGAACCTCTGGAACAGGATTCCCTTAGGTAAGCCCCCCCATTGAGAACCCCCACATTCGGGACGGATAGGACTCCACCAGGGTACTACAGAGCCCCCTATAGAGGATAAGTAGGGTAAGAAGGTGGATAGTACAGAACTTAGATTGAGAAGATGTGCCATACTGAGTCCAAAGAAAGAAGACTCTGTATTGATTCTTAGATTGAGAAGATGTGCCATACTGAGTCCAAAGAAAGAAGACTCTGTATTGATCTTTAGATTAAGAAGATGTGCCTTACTGAGTCTAAAGAAAAAAGACTCCGTATTGATCTTTTAACACATATGCTTGCTAGCAGAGGAATTAAGGTTACTCCCAGTCAGACAGAATGTTTTATACAAGAAGTATGTCCATGCTTTCTGAGGAAGGAAAGGTAAATGTAAAGGCATGGGAGAAGGTAGGCCCAAGGGGCCTTATCCTTAACCCCACTGCAGCCTTTACCCCGGGAAAGTGCAGGATTGGCAAGTTCTCCCTGGGGTGATAGATCAGGACTCAGGTAATAGCGGAAAGCAACTGGTATAAATACAGATGCAACAAGACAGCAACACAGAACTTAGAACACAGAACTTAGAATACAGAGCTTAGAACACAGAACTAAGAAGACAGAACCTACACAGAACTAGAGACAGAAGAACTTTGCTGGAGAGAACATGGCAAAAGATCCTGGACTGAACCTGACTACAGAAATGGGCAAGAGAACCTGACTAGAACCTGGTGACTGAACCTGGCTGGAGAACCTGGACAGAACCTGGCTGGAGAACCTAGCAAGAGAACATGGACACAGAACCTGGCTGGAGATCTGAAGCAGAACCTCTCTGGAGATCGAGACCAGAACTTGGCCTGGAGATCCTGGCTGGAGATCCTGGCTAGGCTGCTGATCAACTGAACACTGTCTCCGTGTCCTTCCTTCTTCGCCGACTCCGTCTACGCCTTTGGGAACCCCTGGACCTGCTGGGGTTGGACCCCGGCAGCAGAGTGATTGGGGGGATCCCTCACTGGCACCCGCCTCGGCTGGCCTGGGGGCTGGGGGCAGCTCCTGCATTGAGCGTCTGCCCCCTGGTGGTCAGTGCACATCATAGCGATAGTAACTGACTGTTCCATTGGTCATTTGGCCATTCGGTCAATTTGCATATTAGGCTTTTATTATATAGGATGCTCTTGAAAGTGTGAGTCAACCATGATGCCCTTCCCTTCCCAGACCTTTTTTTCTGTACGAAGAAGACAGCTAATCAGACAGCTCACTTCTGCACACTAGTTCCTAAATAGAGAATCTGGGACTAGGCTCTCTTTAGTTACGTGTTCTAAATCTATATTTAATGCTCAATATTTTTGCTATTATTTTCTTCAAGTGTATTGACACTTTAAAAATATATCTTTCTATATTATCTTAAAACCTTTAAACATCTGTAAACTACATGTTAACTTATTTACCTGGCCTAGTTTTTACCATAAAGAATGCATGCTTACAAAGAATTATTTTCTAGGCCTAATCAGGGAATTATAGTAGAGCAGCAGTTCTCAACCTCTGGGTCGCGACCATCGGAAAACACATATAGCATCTCAGATATTTACATTATGATCCATAACAGTAGCAAAATTACAGTTATGAAGTAGCAACGAAAATAATTTTATGGTTGGGGGTCACCACAACATGAGGAACTGTATTAAAGGGTCACAGCATTAAGAAGGTTGAGAACCACTGCATTAGAGGAACTTTCATAATAAACTGTCTCTTTGTTTATATGGCTCCCCGGATTTTTTTAAAGACTGTGTGTGTGTGTATAGAGATATCTCACACATGAACATATAACATACACACATACACACACACACACACACACACACACACACACACACACCACTATTACATGGATAAACAAACAGCCTAGGAATTAACAGTAGAAAAGCCAAGTTTGAATCCAGGCTTAACCACTTAGTAATTTGATCTTGAGTAAGTAATTTAGGTTCTCTGAACCTGAATTTTTTTCTCTGTGGATAGGGATGTTGGTTGGCACCTGACATGTTGTATGCCTAGTATGATAACTGACACATTGGAAGTACTCTTGAAGCATGTCTTTTTGTTTGTTGTAAGTCTTATATTAAAGTATGGGTGATAATGCTACATTTAAAAAATAAGCTTAATTTTTTATAATTTCTGAAATGAGTGTGGCTAATTGTCATTGGCTCTGTGTCAGTGACGAATGTTCAGAGAGCATTCTGAAACGATGATCAAAGCCATATATCTAATACCAATTTCAGGTGCTTCTGGCTCTTGGATTGTTGACTTTAAAATGGGAAAGTTGCTTGAGGCAAGAGATATAAAAACTGAACACTCTGCTCCTTGTGGGTGGAAAGTGGAACAAAAGTTAACAACCTTGTGTGAATACTCAAAAAAAAAGAGAGATCTTATACTTTCATGATTAATGTTTATTTTAGAAGTTTATAAATAACAACGTGTATCTCTATATAAAAACCTAAGCAACCGTTTGTCTGGTAGCTATGATGCGCACTGACCACCAAGGGGCAGACACTCAATGCACAGGCATGGAAACATGGAACAGACTGATGAATCTTAGAGGGAAGGGGGGAGGGTGGGAAGAGATTAACCAAAGATCTTATATGCATACCAGAGGTCCGGTGCATGGATTCGTGCACCGGTGGGGTCCCTAGGCCTGGCCTGTGGGGATTGGGCCAAAATGGCTGTCCAACATCCCATCCCCCGAGGGGTCCCGGATTGTGAGAGGTTCCATATTACATTTAGTTTTCATCTCTCCCTCTTCTCCATGTTACTGTTCCTCAGCCTTTCCTGGTCTTTCATGAACTTGACACCTTTGAGGAGCACTGTTTAGTTATTTTATAGACTGTTACTAAACTTCTGTCAGTGTAATGTTTTCTCATGATTAGATTGAGGTTTACCTTTTTGCTAAGAGTACCATGGAGGTGATGTGCTCTTATCTGCGGATCTCAGGGAATACGTGATGTTGATGTGTCTTATTACTTCTGGTATTGTTCACTAAAACAAGGACTTTTAACAGAAAATAACATTGGCTAAAATATAATCTCATGTAATCTGCTTATATGAAATACAAACTGAAGGACTTTAACCTTGTGTAAATTTAAATTCCTATATTTAATTGCAGAATCTGTTAGCCGAAAAAGTAGAACAGTTGATGGAATGGAGTTCCAGGCGCTCAATCTTCCGAATGAATGGCGACAAATTCCGAAAATTTATAAAGGCACCGCCTCGAAACTATTCTATGATTGTTATGTTCACGGCTCTTCAGCCTCAGCGGCAGTGTTCTGTGTGCAGGTAATCAAGCATTTAAAATTTTAAAAAACTACTATCCCGTGCTTATATATTTACTTTATTATATGAAAGGTAAATGTACATAATAGAATAAAACAGTTGTTCATTGTTTTATTCACATATAACTATGAGCATTTAAAAGTAAGCTAAAATCATTGTGTCCTAGGAAATGACATTGATAGGCCAATATTATTTTATTATGTAACATATTTATTGACCATTTTCATATATAATCATGAAAAATAGTTATTAGTATGTCCTATCTAAAGATAAGAATATGATAGAATTTGGTTTGAATAATGCCTTGTAGGTCACCTAATTATATCTTGTAGACAGTGAAGTAGTCCCTTTAGACTAATGTAACAGTTTTATAGAGAGGACACACTTACTAGGGAAGTCCATTTAGTTTTCAATCTCTCCAATGACTAGAACTTGCTTCCTGTGAAACAGAAGTAAACAATTTGAAATGCATGAAGTATTTTTCAGTAGAAATAGCCTAAAGAAAATTTTGGACAAGTACAAATATAATACATATGTAGCAAATGCTGTTTTTTAATGGAACTTTTTATTTTGAGATAATTGTAGGTTCATGTGCAATTGTAAAAAAAATAATGCAAACAAATCATATACCTTTTACCTGTTGGTCCTCAGTGGTAACATCTTGCAGAACTATACGCACTCTCACCAGCAGGGTGTTGGTAGCGATACAGTCAAGATACAGAACAGGTCCATCCCCATAAGAATCTCTCTTGCTGTCCTTTATTGCCACCCCCATGTCCATTCCACTCCCAACCTCCAAAATTTGTTCTCTATTTCTGTATTTTGTCAAGACTATTATGTAAATGGAATCATACAGTGTATGACCTTTTTAGTTTGCTTTTCATTCACTTACTATAATTCCCTCAAAATCCATCCAAGTTGTTGCATTTATCAATAGTTTAATCTTTTTTTTTTACTGAGTAATATTTTATGATACGGAAATACACACTTTAACCACCCATCTGTTAAAGGACATCAGTGTTGTTTCTAGTTTTTGGCCATGATATATACAACTGCTGTGAAACTTCTTATACAGGTTTTTGTGTGAACTTAAGTTTTTGTTTCTCTGGGATAAACACCAGACAGTATAGTGCTTGGGTTATATGGTGGTTGGCTGCTCAGCTTTACAAGAAACTGTCTAAATGTTTTCCAGAGTGGCTGTGTCAGTCTACACATCCACCAGCAGTGTGTAAGTGAGGTCGTTTTTCCATCTCCTCACCAGCACTGCTGTTGTCACTTAGATAGAGATGGAGTGCTGTCTCATTGTGGTTTTATTTTGCATTTCTCTAATGGCTAATGGTATTAAACATCTTTTTATGTGCTTATTTCTCTTGTCGAATATTGTTTTGCATGCTTATTTATCATCCATATATCTTCAGTGAAATGTGTATGTTTTTTGCCCATTTCTAATTGGAGTTCTCAGAGTTTTTTATATATTATAGATGCTAGTTCTTTATCAGATATGTGTTTTTCAAATATTTTCTTCCAGTCCATGGCTTTCTTTTCATGCTCATAATGGAAAGCTTTGCAGATTTTAATTTTGGTGAGCTTCAATTTATAACTTTTTCTTCTTACAGTCTCACTTTCCTTGTAAAATTGAAGAACTCTTTGCTTAGCCCTAGATCCCCAAATTTTTTCCCTGTTTTTTTCTAAAAGTTTAGTTTTAAATTTTGATCTGACCTTTGAGAGAAAGCATTCAGTCTTTCATCATTGAGTATGATATAGCATCATTGAGTATGATATAGCATCATTGAGTATGATATAGCAATAGGATTTTTGTAGATGGCCTTTATCAAGTTGAGGGAGTTCTTTATTTGTAGTTTGCTCAGCGTTCTTATCCTGAATGGGTGTTGGATTTTGTTAGGTTTTTATTGATGTGAATTAATATGATTTTGCTTCTTTAGCCTGTTGATATGGTGAATTACTTTGATTTTCCAATGTTGGACCAGTCTTATAATTTGGAAGAAATCCCACTTAATTGTGGAATATTATTCTTTTTATGCATTGCCGGATTCTGTTTGCTAATATTTTGTTGAAAATTTTCACATCTAACTTTATGATAGATATTGATCTGGGTCACTTTTTATATCATTTTAATGCTGTTTTGTCTAGTTTTGGTACCAGGGTAATATTGGCCTCATAAAGTGAATCGGGAAATGTTATCTCCTCATTTATTATTCTGGAAGAGATTGTGAAAACTTACACAATTTTAGAAGATTGTGTTACTACTTCTTTAAATGTTTGATAGAATTCTTCAGCAAAACCATTCAGGCCTAGAGATTTTTTTTTCAGGAGACTTTAAATTGAATACTCCATTTCTTCAATGGTTAAGGACAGCTGTTGTTTGTCCTTATCCATTGTCTGTTTCTTCTTAGCTGACCACTTGACCACTGTTTTCTGAAAAACAATTGTTTTTTGTGTGGTAACTCCACGTCCAAACTCTGCACATTGTATATTCATCTGTAGACTTTTTAAAAAATGTCTGAGTCATTGTTAGCTCTAGTAGACATGGACGTTATTAGTGACATGGTCAATGAAAAAGACAAAACGGTTCTGTCCAAAGAAGTTTGCAGAAAGAGAATTTCAGTGTTCTGAAATTTTCAAGGATCTTATCACAACCTGATAGTGAGTATATAATAGAGCATGGCTCACAGTGGGCAGAGAGGATAGTGAACAAAAGTATTTTGAAAAACAGCACTTCAGATGATTCCGAGTTTCTCTCCTATCAAATTTGAGGACCAGTACTCAAGTGAGCATTAATACTGCTCTCAGAATTGGGCTAGCACGTATGGATAGGGAAGGTATGTATATCTTAAGGGATGCTGTGAAGCCCTAGGCAGGAAAAATACCACCTTAATTGACATTTTTGTGTAAGAGATATTTTCCCTCAAACTACAAAATGTCCTTTGACATGCTGTAATACCAAATATGTTTTAGGAAAATCATTTTCTTGTACCTAAAAATTGAATTAATTGAATTCCTATATTCACTACTATGTGGAAAAATATATTTATTTGATCATTGTATTTCTGGCAGGTATAGTCTAGAAATACCTTATTACCAAAGTATTTATTTCACAGTTACATATACTTGAATATATTCTGATAACATTAACCATAATATACTGTTAAATGATTTTACGTAACATTATGTTGTTAAATGAATTGTTAAATATGGACCCTTAATTTTGTTTGTTTGTTTATTGATCCTAGAGAGAGGAAGGGGGGGTGAGAGAAAGAAACATCAATTGGTTGCCTCCCACATGCACCCTGACTGAGGATTGAACCTGCAAACTGGGTATGTTTTTGGTGTATGTATGGGATGACACCCAACCAACCGCGCCACACTGGTCAGGGTTGGACCCTTAATTTTTTTAAATAACAGAGCTCAAAATAACCTTTATTTGTTTGCTTATTATAGCCTATCTATATAATAAAAGCCTAAGCGACCATTGTGGTGGAACGACCAGAACAACCAGTCCCTATGATGCGCACTGACCAACAGGGGGCAGACGGTCAATGCAGGAGCTGCCCCCTGGGGGTCAGTGCGCTCCCACAGGGTGAGCACTGCTCAGCCAGAAGCCGGGCTCAAGACCGGCGAGCACAGCACCGGTGGCAGGAGCCTCTCCCGCCTCCACAGCAGAGCTAAGGAGCAGCGAGCAGGCAGGCGTTAAGGAGCGAGGGGTCTTGGACTGCAAGAGGGATGCCCGCCCCCACGAATTTTGTGCACTGGGCCTCTAGTTTTGTAATGCAAGTTTATATTTTAGAATAATTTTAGATTTATGAGAGAAAATGTGTGCAGTAACTATAAAAAATTAAGATAATTTGTAAATGGGTGGTAGGTTGTTAGAGAAGCGAGAAAGAACGGGTGAAGCTTTGGAAAGGAATAAAAAATGTAGAGTCAATATATGGTTCCCATACCCAGACATTCTGATTTGCTTTGGGATAGGCCCAAGGCATTGACATTTACACAGACATGATCTAGGTAATTCCAGTACGACCAGTAGTGAGAAAGGGAAGATAAAAAGCAAGTTCATGGTTCATAGTTTTTGTTTTCCTTGAGGAGCAATGGGATTGAGAAGACTAGTTGGATGACCATATAGCTTTGAGGATCCTTTGAAACCAGAATACCCAACTTCTTAGTGAGGAATCTATAGAGTTAAACCATTTTCTGCCCCAATACTCAGCAACTTAGGAGCAAGAACACCTTCCTTAGTGGTCAACATGTTTGGCTTATGGCGTAAAGGGGGTTAGGCAAGTGCTTGAGAGTGCTAGTGAGACAGTATTACTATTTGAAATGTGTGGTCATGGGTTCAAAGTTGGATAGTGGATCAAAGGAAGCCAGGGAACAGCTGATAAATTAGGTGTGAAAGAATTAAGTTCTATTTTAATGAGAGTGAAGAACAGATTTTGTGTAAAAATAGGATGGGGTTGAAAATTAAGAAGATATCATATAGGGTTACTTAATAAATAACTTGTAAGTAATTTACTGAAGTATAATATAGGTGATTGTTGATGTAGAGAAACTTATAGGGCTGTGGTAATGTCTAGATTAAATCATGTGTGCTGAAATTGTTCAGGGTGATAATGGAGTTGGAGAGGAAGAAAGTTAAGTGAGCTGATAGAGGGATGCCTTGGGGTTTGTTAGATGAGGATGATACATTGATATTATAGAGTCATAGAATTGTCAAAGGAAGATCTGTTAAATAATTGTGGATGAGCAGTGTTCTGAGATTTACTGTTATGGAGCCAAGAGAGTACTGTGACCCATAGGAAAGTTGGCAGAGTAGATCAAAGAGATCTCAACTAAGTAAAGGTAAAGTGTTGAGAAAAATTATTCAATTATATTCTCATATTCTAAATTTAGCCTCAAAGGGAGTTGTAGATTCATTGAAAGAGACATCCTATCATAAGCAGTCATTTTTTTTTTTTAACATGAATTAAATTCTAGGTTCTGTGTCAATG